GGGCACGGTCGGCGCGACGGGCCCTGACGATAATGGTTTCAATGAGGCGCGAACCTCGATATAATAATTGTTTGAATTTATAATGAAATACCCTCGTTCCGTAGGGTTTGGAGAATTAGGCACGACGGAGACAGGCGTTCGCTGTTCCGCGGTGCGCGATATCCACCTGCGTAGTCGCTCTCTATACCTCTTGCCGCATCTCTTCGGCATCTAATATATTGAATAAAATGTTCTACGCTGTACTTGATCTGATTTTAATTGGAAACCTCAATAAGAACGATTAAGATGGTAAGGTATGGAAGTAAGCAGTGATATTGTCTCTGGTCTCTCGAGATTTTATATAATAAGATCCTGGTTGCAATGGATCTGTCGAAGTCTCGATCGGGTCTCGACCAACTTGTCAGTCAGGAGGCCTTCACGCGGTACTTCGCAATTCGCTGTGATTAATTAAGCTCCGGAGCGTTCGTGAGATGCTACCGAAACTGTCAGAGCTCAGTCTTAGCAAGCAAGAATAATGTGACTAAGAGCGGTTAACGCTACCAGGTACGCAAGCAGTATTATGGTGTCATAAGAACACCGCAGCTCTGCAGGAATGTGTGTAAAAGCGTTTGGCTTACGACTGACGCATGTGCCAGTGAAGCATCGAGACGAAAGAATGTATGTAAGGTTTGCCAGAGTGTAAAGGATGTATTGGATAGAGATCGTTCTTAAAGAGAGAGCAGTAATATGATAATTGTAATTTAATTGAGAACGAGTACAATAACGGCGTTTAAGCTAGTTAATATGATGTACAATAGTATAGAACGTATGACAATATGAAATAAATGACGATAGGTAATATATGACAATATGTGAATTAGAATAATAATTGTATTAAGAATAGGGTGTAGAAATATAGAACAAGTGACAATATAGAACGAGTAACAATATACAAATCAGAGTAGTAATGCAATAATATAATATGCAGTAATATAGAATATACGACAATGTAAAATAAATGACAATATAAGAAATCAGAGTAATAATTGTATTGAGAGTAATGGTAATTTTAACGATAGGTGGTCGCTCGGATCCTACCGGACTAGTGTTTGAGTACGAGGAAAAAAGGGGACAAGTATTAGACTCACGGTCGCTTATTGTAGGGATCCGCTGGTCGTGATAGAATTCGCCTGGGCACGCTGTCGCTGCAGTTCCGCACGCAGGTCGGTCGTAGAGAATCTCGGGATAAATGGAGCTCGCTGGCTTCGATAAAATAGAACTCCCGATAAAATGTTCACGCAGCTGCGCGAACGTACACTTGAATTATATAACGAGAATGTATGTCGTATGATGTCCTCGGACAGTGACGGATGGTACACGGGGAAGTCCTCGAAAAGCTACGTTGATGGTACGCTGAGGAGAGCTCGAACAGCTAGTGCGGAGCGCGCCGGGAGCGCGCCTTTTTATAGGGCTCCAGCGGGGGCTTCGTACGGTTCCGACGGCGGTCGGGCCGCAGCGCCGAATTCCATAGAGGCACGGTGGTCTCGAGTCGGCCGGTTGCAAAGGGAAGTCTCTACGCTTCGGCTTATTTCTCCGATAAGCTCGGGGGACCTGACGCCGTTCTCGGTGGCGTGATGCGTAGCGTTGCGATGATGTCACGTCGAACGTTCGTACCTAAGCGAGTTCGTCTCGCGAATATTCTTATGCTATATGTGCGTACAAAAGTTGCGGTCTCTTAACTCTAACAGCGGTGGTGTATGCTTCTATACAGTTCGTTACAAAATATAATTCTACTATTCCTTTCGTCACGTATGGCTTTCCATCGGCTAAGTATTAAGCGGTGATTTATGTCTCCCTTAATGGATAGAAATCTACAGGAGGACTGCTGTTACCTGTTTTTTATGTAATTTTAGTTTAAGCCGTCTCTGACGATTGAATTAGTAGAATTCGCGGCTGAAACGAAATATCTTATAGTCTACTTCTCAGTTTAGCATAAATCGGCCTCAGGTTAATGCAATATCTAGCGGCGTGAAAATTTAGAGATTTTTAGGGCGGGGACGTTACACTGCAAGAAGAATATACCGATGGATACCACAGCTTACTGCCTCATTCTGCACGACCGCATTGTGGAGTACAGTCCTCTGACCAACATTGTGCGCAAAATAACATAAAAATGAACGTGCCTACATTTGTAGACCTGCAAGGATTTACGGTTGGAATGAGATTTCACGTAAAAGAGATAGCAATACTTGGAAATGGAACTGTTCTCTCCCATTATGTTTTTGCGAGTCCTATGCCGTGGCATCTTCTCACGAGAGCTGACAAATCGAAAGCAACATGGTTGACGGCTAATCATCATGGTCTGCATTGGAAGGATGGAATCGTCCCGTACAACAAAGCGAAACGTTTGATCACGGACGCTGTGATCAGCGAAACCAGCGAAGAATCCAAACTCGTCTACGTCAAGGGATACGAGAAGCGCGAGTGGCTGACGAATCT